TATGTTCTCTCTTTATCTGAACCTCTGCCTCCAGTCCAACCTGTGGAGTCCTGTCTAGGTGTTCAGAAAATCTGATTTCCTCACCTATCACTGCATGTTACCTTAGCTCAGCCCTCTGAACAAGCTCAATTGTAAGTTTTGGAAGAAAATACAGAGAATCAGTCTCATCCCTACTTTCTCTCTAAAGCTCTTTCCACCTCTCACCTTCCACTCGCTTGTCTCTCTTCCTGTATCTCTTCCAGAAAATGACATCCTCTAGTGAGTCTAAGGAAACACCACATAGAGCGATTACTAACAAGCCTGATGTGCAACCCCCCCCCCCCCCCCGTGTAAGGAGGGGATAGAGTGGGGCCAAGTGCCCTTCAGCAAAAATGAATTTTCCAATTTCAGTTAGTTCTTCCATGAATAAATAAACAAATGAATAATTGAAAGGAGCAACATAAATAAATAACATCACAAACATTTCGCCGGTACTCATAAGTATTCTACAGATAACTCGGGCTGCATGCTAATGATAAAAACAGTACATGTAGCAGGTTGAAGATGCATTATTCACCGCTCTGCTCTAACCAAAATTAAATAAATAAATATCTCTCAAGGAACTCAAAACATCCTCTTAGTATTGAAGTGACAGGTCTGTCCCATATATAACACACAAGGACACTGTGGAAAACAAATAACTGACCAGTCAGATGCAAGAGGGAATAAATAAACCAGCAAAGAGCTGGCAGCCATTGACAGGATCTCCAAAATTTCAGCAAGTTGTTAGAAGGAAAAATAAATACTTCCAAGTGCTAGGAAAGATACAATACTTTTTTAAAAATCCTGCAGGAGGTATGGTGACGAGATGAATTCTCACAATGAACAGTTATTGGAACAGTTGGACAGACTACAAGAAAATAGTAATTTTCAGTTATTGACAACAATGTTTTCTCTGGGACGACCCAAACGTCATTGCAGAGACTGACCACTTGACCGTTAGAGATACTTTTCTGGCATTATTGTTCTATACTTGGTCGGAAAAGGCTTTGTTCATTCCCTAGTGAATCTAAACAAACGTGCAGGACTCACTGGAGAACACAAAAAATCCCCTGCTATACAGAGCAGACACATTTCACTGAGATATGGGACACACAAAATGCACTGACACCATAGAAACATCATAGAATGAGAAATCACTCAAGACAGACAGTAGTAGCAACAGGGTGCCAGTTGCAGCAAAGTATAACCCGAAGCAGTGGCATTATGAATGGAAGTTGTTTCATTTTAAAAACCACCTCGGCGTGTTCATAAAAATAATTGGTCAGTTGATTGATGAATGTGATGGTGAAAATGATTGTAACAGTCACAACTAGTCGCTGCAGTGAATAAGATAATGAGCTTGAGCTTGAATGTTCATTAGTGACCTTGGAAATATCAGTTTGACAAAACTAATCTTATCGCAAGGTCCACTCAATTGGTTTTAGGAGCTCTGAGAGACATTTTGTGACCTTTAAGCACCAGAAAAACCAATAAGTGGAGCTTGTGATAAGATTTGTTTCTTAGGCAGATAATGAAGAATCCTATGGAGCATCTGTACAGCTCCTAACAAATATATGTTACGTTGTTTAAGTTAATATTACACAGTTGTTTTTTTTGCAAAAAAAAAAATCAGGTTGAACATGTTACTCTGCACGTGTATATAGAAAATGATGAACAACTGGACTCAAGACCACAGCAGAGTAGTGTAAGAATAACATTGTCAAGGCATATGTGTGAGGAGTTCCAACAACAACAAATGCGCACAGTAACTAAGTCCAAATCTAGACAGATCTCCATTCCACGACTCAACATCCTAATAAATAAAGGCCACATTCGATCACAGCTAATGTCCTATTCTACAGAAACAGCGGTAGAGGTGGGAGGATTATGTAGAGGCAATATTGAATGTGGAGTTAAACAATGATTACTAATCTCATTGTATTAGAATAAAGAACAGCACATCAGCAAACATGGGGGGAAGTTGCCCTTTGTCCTCTGCGTAGCTCGTTTTCCACAAAGCTCATTAAGGGATACTGTTAACATGCTTCCTAAGCACAAAATGTTAATTAAAAACACAAGGCTAATATGCATTTTTACGCCACGTTTTTGAACGGCATGGAAAAAAAATCTAATTTCCTCTGTGGTTCTGCTGATTGCAGTCTGATGTGGTGCTGAAGTTAATTAGAACCCTGTGATCTGATGTGATGAGGGGGTGACCGCACGGCACGCTGCCACCAGCTTCCCTCCCTCCCCTCCACGACTGCAATCACCCCGAGCCTACTCATCATTACTGATGTAGACTAGGCCATTTCACCCAGACTGAAGGTCCCACCCTGCTGCTATTTCCTTTTCTTCTTTTCCTCTCACACTCTTCATGTCTGTCTCTTACCATGTCCGGCAGTTCTGGGCCACCAGGCTGAGGTGTCTGTCCTCCAGCAGACACGAGATCCAGAACAGGCCAGACAGCTTCTGTGCTTCAGCCAATATAAGCCTCACTGCCTCAGAGGCAGTACGGGAGTCTGCTTTTTACTCCTGTAGCTTAGTGTCCCACAGACACAAGTGATCCATCTTCAGGTCATCTTCCTCAGCCCAGCTCTGGAGCTGGACTAAGCAAAATGAGAGCACACAGAAGACCAGGGTCAGCATGGGAGTTACTATAGCGCAGTAATCATCGTTGACAGTCAGGGAGAGTGCCGCATCAGTTAGTAATCCCTTTGGTCAGTCAGAGGGTAGAACAGAGAATTATTTATCTAATTTACGTTCCTATCAGTTTGTACAAAGACTTTTGGAGTATATGATGCAGATTTTCTGCGGCACAACCAGGTCTCTTCATCCCCAAATTCTGCTATGAACTAATACAGTCTGTGAACTGTGTTGCCCTTTAGACACAGTGTGCTCGCCTCGACATTAAAACAACACGTCTGTAACAGCTCTGATAAGTTTTCACTGAAAGACATTCAAAGAGGGGGACCATTTTTATGAAGTGACAAACGTATGCAGTGACAGGATCATTCCATAAAAGTCCATGCGAATGAAATGAACAAGTCTTCGCTGGGTGTGAAAATATACTGCGGCACGCACCTCTGCAGACCCTACTATTAATCAACCTGTCTGCACTTTGTTTTGAGAGTAATCTCGTCCAACCACCAGAGAAGCACTCAGCAGTAAGTGGCGCTTGGCTGTGCTTTGAAGGCCGTGGTTTATTGCCATCCCAAAGCACAGCAAGACTGCGCTGTAAAAACACATCATCTCAGTGCTCAACACTTGCCTCCCATTACACACCACACACATGGCGATCTAGACCTCCTTAACCACTCCTGGCCTAACTTCAGCTATCATAGGTAGACACAGTATAGGCCCATACTGAAGTCCTTTTCTTGTCTTTGTCCATGCAAAAAGTCCTCCTTCTGAACCTCATCCTTACTACTGATAAATCATGACAAAAGAAGCTCACTTTTCATAAATAAGGACAATGAGAGACATGCCCCTTTATACCTCTGTCTTCACACAAATAAAAAATTAAGGACAGCAGCAAAGCAGGTCAACATCAAAAGTTAGAACTTCCTGAGAACTCACTCTATGGATGTTTAAAGATCAACTACTGTGGTGATGTTTGCTTAGAGAAGCCAAATTATGGAAAAGGTCAATCTCGTCTTATCGCCCATCCCACTACAGAAAGGTGATGCCTTACAAAACAGGTTTCTTTTTAACTGACTTCTTTGAGCGTATCAAGGTGACAGACGTCTGCCTATGTGTGTTTCTGAATGTATTGCTGTGTGTAGGCTATGCTTACAGACCAACAATGAGGGCCAGACCTTGTCCTTCAGCTGGCACTCCTTTAATCTCTTCATTTCTTTGTATGCATTGCATTGCTGGGCCAAACACACAAAGACACAAAACTTTCCTTTTATTTTTATTATGAATGAGTTGAGGCTAATCATGGTGAGATAAGTGGCTTGTGAGAGCATCACACTTTTCATTTGCTGCCATTTCACTACAAATCAACTTGACATATTTTCTTTCTATCTCTTTCCATGAGCGGCAAGGCCACCGACACTGACCAGTGCTACATACTCCCTGCTCTTGACTTTAGTGAGAGCTATCTAAAACTTAAAGTATCTCTTTTTTTCGTTACCTGACCTCCTCAAGAATACCTCCTGTACTATTTCAATATTAGGACAGAGAGTGCAAGTCAAAGTAAATAAAGTGCTGAAATATTAAAGTAGAGAGTGGCGGTCAGCTGGGCAGTGGTGGAGTGGCAGTGTTGGGAATCAAATGGGCATGCAGGAGTGTTGAGATGAGACTCATACAGGTTTGTCTGACTTCATAATCTATAGCAGGTCTGTTCTGACATTTAAGGGCCCACTGTGTTAAGAAAATTAAGCAGAGGAGACTGCAGGCATAAATGAGCATTAACACTAAACTCCATATAAATTGAATTACCACATTTGCAAGTGAAATCAAATTTTAAATTGGAAAGAGTGAAACACATATGCAGATGCGTAGTGGAGGCAGAATAAAGCAGGCCTGAGTATGTGATTGCTTTTAAATGGGTGAGCTCTAATGTCTTTCACATCCTTTGGACCTTTGTTGAAACAGTAAAGAAGGTGTATTTGAATATAACATTCACCCTTCAAGGACTTATAGATGGAATGTTTTCTTCCTGCACCACCAATGAAAAAAGCTTCTGACCTGTGTTTTAAAGGTAGCATATATGGCATAACTGCAGCTCCTTTTAAGCCAGTGACTTTTTTTCCTCTCAAAAGGAGGAGGTCAATAGTTCAAAGCATGAAGGCCCACAGCACTCTAGCTTCCTTCTATGAGCTCAAAAGAAAGGGTGAACTGAAGTCAAAGGTACACACGAGCACTTATGTAGTGTCAAACCCTTAACTCTTTACTGAGAAAAACAGTCATGTGGATATATATGTATTTTTATGTGTGAGTGTGTCCCAGAAAGCAGGAAGGCCACCAACCTTTCTTTGCAGCTCTTGCCACTCATCCTACATCCTTGCAGCGTCTTTGGCCTGTGTATCTCCACCTGTAGTTCAGAAATCTGTTCTCCTCCTGCTCAACATACAGACAGGAAAGAGGGAACAGAGGTGTGGTGTGCAGAGGATTGAAGCATCTCTTTTTAAAGGTGTCAGCACACCTTCCTTTTACATAATACATATCACACCTCAGAGATGATCCATTAGCAGGTTACAGCAAGAGAGCTGAGCAATAAGCTGACGAGATACAGCTGCAGCAGAGACACAAAGACAAACACAACCGCAAGCAAATACATACACACACAATATCCTCCACTTTTACTGCCAGATGAGAGGGTGGGATTGTCTCTGCGGGGCAGACCTGTGTGTGGCTGCATTTAAAACCACTTTTACTGGACTGACTTCTGGGCTACGACCCTTCACTGCCTCCAGAGAAAGCGCAAAAGACAAAGTATGTGAGAGAAAAAGAAAAAGAGAGAAACAGAGCGAGATATGAACATCGAGAGGGAGGCAGACAGAAAAAGAGAAAAGGCAAGCCAACACCCCCCCTGCACTTCCAGACACTGATTTATAATTTTAATATCTCTAATTTCCACAGCAGTGCCCATTTTCCAAATGTCATTTTCCAATTTATGTCAAACCGTGTGACCATTTTTCTTAATACAGCATATGACAAGCTCGGTGGCAAGGCGGATATGCAATTCAGATTGAGTGTTTTACAGGCACAGCAGCAGACACACTGGGGTGTTTGTGTGTTTATCTTTATCAGTGTCTGCTCAGTATTTTGGAGGGGAAAGACTGGGAACGTTATACACCAGGGAAAAATTGGATTCGCTGCAAAATATGTGCCTTCAGGGAACAAAACCATAATTCTGTCATAAATCTAATAATTACAGTTATCATAATAAGAATTATGATGGTGGCAATGATAATGTATTAAAATATGCATTAACATTAAGAGCTTCAAATGGAATGTGGGATGGCTTTATGACCATTACATGAATATTGATGTTAATTAAAACAGAACCTCCCTTTTTATGTAACACTCTATCTTGTTGTAATGGTAAGAGTTGGACACAGTGGTGAGGCGATGGAGCAGAAGTCATTACTGATTGGTTTACAAAACGTGGGGCACTGTGGAACTCCTCTTGGATGTGCAAAGGACCTTGCAGGTTGGCTCTTTCCATTGACTCAAATAAAATTCTCACTGTAATGGACTAAAGCAATTTTGTGAAGACATTATTGGGATAAACCATGCAAAACCACCTGTATGTTCAATACATTCAATAAAACGATGGTGTTTTATTGAATTGAAACGATGGTGCTACCTGAGCCCGGGCTGGCTGACCTTTAATATGAGTGAAAGATAATCCCAAGCCTGGCTGCTAATGATTATTCCCCCACTATAAAAGTCCAAAGTTACGCACTGACTACAAACATGCTCTAAAAACACATTAATGACCACTGGGATCTAAGTGACAGCAAGACCTGTTTATGGCATAGCAGTGTTAAGACCTGCTTAGGATAACCTAAACAGTCTCACTTCTATCCCCCCTCTCCCCTCTGAGCCAAACACTCGACTGTTTGTGAGTGGCGGCCCGCCAGCCCATGTTCCCTACTATTGAAAAAGGGTAAAAATAACAGGAACAAGTTGTCGGAAATGAAATTTCAATTCATCCAGTCCCTTTATACACTGGTGCGAGAGCCTGTCGTTGAGAGGGAGGGATCAATAGTGTTTAGACAGCAGGGCAGATTTTCTAAGCGCCGGATCAATAGGAAGGAGAGAGGAAAAAATACCCTGGCTTTTCTTTGGCTGTTGTAGTAAATACGAACAAATCAGTGGCCTTAGGCTAAATGGATTGACCAGCTGTTTCCGAGTTCTGTGTTGTAAATAAAGATCCATTCTGAGGTGTGTAACCGAGGCCCAAAGGCGAAAGTGCCACTGTTCAGGTTGGCCCGGCATGGGCTGTGCTGGACTACACAAGTGTCTTGATCAGAAGGTGAATGAGGCAAAGGAACAGAGGAGGAAGAAAGGGCAGAGGAGAGAGCTGACTGTGTACAGTGTTGGTTCCCACTTATTTCATCAGTGGAATTCAACAACACCAACAGTCATGTTCAAAATGTGTTCATTTGAATGGATTTTAAACTGGTTGTTAAATATATAAATAAAAAAAGCATTTTTTCATACAAGACACAGTGCTCCTGAAACATCTAGCTTCTGCCACTTAAAATGGTAGTAGCATGAATATAATCATTTATCCAGCAATTTTAGATAGATGGACTTTTGCTAACTAGTTTTCATGTAGCTCTGGGAGGCGTGTCCTGTTTTGCTTATTGCTGGTGGTTTATTGGTAGTTGTGACAATAAATACAGGGTTTTTCCTGGCTCAGAATGGGCCTTTGGGGGGGTGACTGCGCGACAGTAAGAATGATAGGTACGCGTTCAGTAAAGGCAATGACTTGCCTAATGACCAAAATCTATGCATCTTCTTGTTATTTCTGACCATTTGATAAACAAAATATATATTATATAACATTAAATAGAAAGTGTAATGTTAGTATAATAATATATTTATAGGTTACACTTTATGTGGATAATCTGCCTACAGATAGTTTATTGGTAGAGATTTAGCTATTTCACAATAAAACCATTTTCTGATATTAGCCTCCACCACTGTGGTTAAGGTTTGATTAGTGCTAATGTTTGTGTATTCATTATAATTTCAGATAATAGTACAGCTTACCATTAGTAGCCTAATATTAATTCCAGTTGCACAAAACAGCAGTTTCTGTGGGTTGTTTTCAGTCACTAAATTATTGTACATGAAAAATGCTCCACATGGTGGTCAATCGCTCATTTGTTTATGCAAATTAACTTGTCAAAAAAAAAAGTAGAAAACTGTGCATACAGAACGACGAGTTAAACATTTCTAAAGTTAGCTGTAGTGCCTCAACCTTTTTTTAACGTCCCGCCTCCTCCAGGCTGTGATTAGTTGGTTAACGAAAAGTGACTATAGTGCCACTATACAAATGGCTGCATGAAAACCTGATGTGGAGAGGGCAGAGGAGAGGACCGGTGCAGGTGTCCTGCCGAAAACTGATGTTTGGTAGGCCTATGTGTAATATCTTTGTTTATATTTGGAAAACGGGCTGTAGCTATAAGATATAAAATGAAGACAATTTTGCAATTATTCTTATGACTCTGCATTATTTTACTTGCTGTGTAGGCCTACCAACCAATCCACTCTTTTTTAGCTGTTAAAATAACTTTAAATGGCCAATACAACTCATAAAATGCAGTATTTCACTTGCCAGAAAATGATTGAAGCCTTTTGTTACTGATTGAAAGGTTATTTCTGCCCTGAAATTAGTTGATTTCATTCAGAAGAGTTATATTTGACAGATTATAGCTCACCTAATACTTTTTACCTCTTAAAATACCTTTAAATGGCCAATACAACCCATAAAATGCAGTAGGCTATTTCACTTGCCAAAAAGTGATTGAAAAGACTGGGCAATACAGCTCCAGCAGACAGCAATCACTTTTCGGCAGACGATCACTTTTCGCCTGTACGCCAAAGAGTAAAAGTGACAGTACCGGTGAATACCAACGCACTTGAAGCACAAAAGGCTTTTATCTTGTGTGAAATGACAGGAAGTCATTAGCGCGAACTTTCGGGCTCCGTAAAACCAACGCAGCAACTGGTTTATTAATCTAGCGCCAGCTGCATGTGTAAAGTACAGCGGCTATGGATGAGAGATCACTGCTGAAGACGTTGTATTTAAGTTTATGTTGTGCTTGCTCAACAGTTGTTTGATAAATGACGATTAAAACACATAGGATATGAAAGGTTGTTTTTTTTTTTCAATTCTGATCATTTTGGCGCTGAGGATTTTCCTTTGGTGCTCACTAAAACCTGTTTGGGGGGTGCCAAATATTTCTCTATGCAGGAAAAACCCTGAAATATACTAAAGATCAGCCTCACAGCAATTTGCAATCCTGTTAATGTTTTTATTTTCTTCTTAAACACACATACTTGGCCATATACACATGCATTTCTCATCCATTGACTTTCAATGCATGAGTTGCTGTTTGGTGGTCCAGTAACCTGGAACTGCAAGAGTAATTTGCAAATGCGTACTAGTCTGGTACAACGGGAACGCATCAAGACGCCTCTGGATGCATTGGATACACCTACAACCAGAGCAACGAAATGTGTGACGTAGCTCTGAGCGACACATGCAAGTTGGGGTGGTTGGGGTGGTTCAGGTGGGAAATAATCAATGCAGTACAGACTGTATGCTGATCTAGACCTACAACCTATTTTACATTATGTGATTGGCCCGACCACTTCCTGGATGAGAGGAAAACTGTCTGAATGGGAAGTGCGCCAGATGTATGGGCCAGAGCAAATGGAACATGAGCTTGGCAGATTTGTGTGGTTCCCACGCTAGTGGTCCAGCACACTTATTCATAATTTTTTTTTTATGCTTGTATATAAATAGATATACATATATAAATATGAATCAAAGACGTTAATAATTCTTATCTTGGCACACAGAAAGTACACCATTAACGGAATTGACAAAACGCCAGAAGTACAACTTTTTAGATGACTAAAATAAATCATTACATCAAAGATAAGACTGGTTCTTGAGGTAGGCAACTGTGGCAGGTTAAATATTTCCTCCAATATACTGGGCTAATCAGAGGGTAAGCTCCTGACAGGATGACTGATGCTCTGCTTGCTTTGCCTCACCTCTGGACTTATTAAAGAAAAACACCATGGGCCATGCTTTCACAAAACTCATTGGTCAACCATAGTGGAGAGTGTGATGGGTGAAATTCATCACTAAAAACTCTTCAGCACAAAGAAAACACACATTGGAGCACTGACGACACAAGAACCTGTGGTCATTACTGATTGCCTCCAAACTCAGCGAGAAGACACTTTAAAGGACAAATGTGTGTGGAAAAGAATGGCTGTTGACTCTTGCTGCAGGGTTGACAAGAAAAAAAGACAAGTGAGAGCGAAATCTTAGGCTTTGCTGTGCTTGGAAACACTGTCGGGTTCTG